AAGGTGTTCAGCAGCTTTGATGGAATTGGCAAGGATTTTAGCCAGCTGTCCGGGGTCTTGGAGTTACACTCGAAAGATGAATATCTCATTCATTAAATTTTCCTTAATTTGTACATAGCACCCTTTTCCCCTTATATAATTATGAACTCTTCTCCTGTCCTCTCCCATTGGGCAAGTTCAAAATCTCTGCCACATCCCTTTTCCGTAAGTTTCAATATTCTTCTAATTGCCACTCCACTAAAATAAAGGCCCTAAAGGACTGTATTTTATGCTAGCTAGCATATTATCATCTTGACTTTTTCTGAATATAGACTTGTCTTCCTGACTGAGGTGTGCAAGACCTGACTTTCCCCAGTGCTACCCTATCTTCAGAGAGCTGGGCTCTTCCACCTGCTTTCCTCAAGACCATTTTGCTTCCAAATGGTATAAAATGGAGTTTTTCTAACTGTGACCATAATGCACAAATACATTTATTATTTAACCCAGGGCACACACATGCAAAACTGAAATAAGTTTAATGAAGACAAATTTGTATTGCAAGATATAATGCATTCTGATTTTATATTCTGCTCTTCATTTTTTAAAAAAGAAATGCAAGTCAATCCACTAAACTGACTTTATGACACACTAATGGTCATAACCAAGCTCAGGAAAAATATCAGTGGTGTAAACACTTCCGAATCTGGATAAACAATTTGAACTGTGGTTTTAACCAACCTTTCAATAAATAACTAGAGGAGTTTTGTTTTGTTTTTTTTTTAAGATTTATTTGAGAGAGAGAGAGAATGAGAGAAAGAGCACAAGAGGGGGGAGGGTCAGAGGGAGAAGCAGACTCCCCGCCGAGCAGGGAGCCCGATGCGGGACTCGATCCAGGGACTCCAGGATCATGACCTGAGCCGAAGGCAGTCGCCTAACCAACTGAGCCACCCAGGCGCCCTAGAGGGGGTTTTGTAAGTCATTTCACCTCGGAGCTTCAGTCCCTCAATCATGAAATAGGAGAGCTGAAACAGGTCATGGAAAGGTCTAGTATGTAGTTACCAACTTCCCGCTCCTCTTGCCACTTCACACCAATCTGCTTTCTTTTCCTGATACCCTGGTCCTTCTCAGCCTAGTGACACTGGGACAGTGATCTGGAAAACGTCCTTCCATACACACTGGCAAATCATCCAGTCACATGCCCCCAGGTACGCATCAAAATTGCGATCCTTGGAGCTTATCTGCTCCTGATATTCAGAGATTGCCCCCTTTACTTTCTAGCCTATGGTCCTCTGGAGAGCCTAAGGCTGTCAAACTAGTAGCGGTTACTGAAAAATCCATATGGCAGGATGTGAAGTTTATTATGGGATTATAACAAATTGGACTTGAGAATTAAGGCTCCAGGGGGCGCCTGGGTGGCTCAGTCGGTTATGATTTCAGCTCAGGTTACGACCTCAGGGTTGTGGGATCAAGCCCTGCATGGGGCTCCATGCTCAGTGGGGACTCTGCTTGAGATGCTCCCTCTGCCCCTCTCCTCTCCCTGTTCATGCACACTCACTCTTTTTAAAATAAATAAATCTTTGAAAAAAAATTAAGGTCCTGGAACCACAATCTAATTTCCTGAGACATTTACTTCCCAGCAGCCCTGTGCTAAGGTTAAAGAAAAATCAAACAACTTAAATTCAACTGAAATATTTGAAGAAATGAGACAACTGTTTTGTTCCAAAGATTTTCATCAAAATGAAAAGCAGAACACACTATCCTCATAAAGTTTTGGTTTTTTGTCAACAGAAGATACTTACAGGTTAAATAATTGTTTGGAAAAAAAGACCCAAGAGAACTGATTGACCGTTCATTAACTAATGAACTGTCATCAAGCAAATATTGATTCTACAATTCACTGTTTTCCTTCTACACATAATTCTTGAGCCAAGGGTTGCCAGGTTGTTAATAAAAGGTGAAGACTTACAGTCCAAGGTTTTATTAGGAAAAAAAAAATGGGACTTACGTGAAAGAACTTCTAAAATGTTCAAAGATTAATCTACGTTTGTGAACTTTCTTTCCTGAAGACAAGACATCTTAGCAGGAAGTACTATTCTAAATAATATCAATTTTGTTTAACGCATTAGGATGAAATCATGATTAAAATGCATGAAAAATTATAGGGGAGACAGCTGACAGTAAGCTAGTCCTTAACAAACACGGTTACTTTAACAACGATGCAACTTTACAGGGAGACAAAGATGTCCAAGATATGTTCAGTGAAAGGTAAGTAAAAAAACTGATGTGTATATATTTGCATAGTGATTTGAATAATTATGTTTTTTATCTTGGAGGATCTACAGAATGTTAACAGTTAAACTCTGAATCATGGTAGTGGACTGAGGACAAGAGGGAAGACTCCTGTGACTTCATACTCACATCTGTGGGGTTTTTTTTTTCTTCCACAGTGAAAATGTAAAACTATTTTTAAGTATTTTTAAAATAATCAGGTCAACACTACAGTTGTTTCTTAACAGGGGAAATTAAAATAAGTTGCCTCCCTGCAAACGTACTAGGCAATCCAAATGAAAAACACCCTATTTGTGAGACTACAGGACAGGGACATAGTCTGCAGCGATGAAGGAACGTCAGAGAGCTTTGCAAGCAGTAACAATTGGGTTAAACTTTGAGAATTAGACCTGTTATTTGTTCATCAATAAGCCAAAATATTGCAATACAAAAATATTTTAATGTGTAAGATGCCAGGACAGGAAGTTTTCTGTAAATCAGAATGACCTTAAAGTTTTTTTTAATTACATCCCACCTAAGAGTAATGATCCCTCCATTTTTCCACATGGGATTCTAATCCTAAATTTGTTTTGAGAAAGGCCACAAAACAGTGTGCCCCTTGTCTGTGGGAACATCTGCAGCGTGTCAAGGCACTGATTTATGTACTCCCCTAAATACTTGATGAGTGAAATTAGTAGAACCTGCTGTACTTCACATTCACTTCAAACCATCTGAAGTGCTAAGAGTAATCCCACTAAGCAGGTCATTTTTTCCCAAAGTTATTCCAATACTATTTGGACAAAAAAATAAACTACAAAAAGCCTACATATCAAAATTCTAGCAGTAGTTGGATGATAACTAAGTAGGCAGAAGTCCATTCAATGGAAGAAAATATTACAATTATATTAACTATGTATATACTACCCCAATTGAATACACTTACAAAATAGTAAGTATATAATATTTTTAAAAATGCTAACATTTTTAATGCACAGGATTGATGCCCATCAAAAATACAAACGTTACCATTTAAGTACGTATCTCCAGAAAAGGCCAAGTGGGGCACTAAATCAAGGTAACGTAATTTGAAAGTAGCATAAGGGCTTATAGTCTTTATAACCTAAGAATGACCACCATGAGAGCATTTTCTAGTACCATGTTCGGGTTGAAACTCAGTTTATAACATAGCCTGGGCTTCACAAAAACAAAGGTGTCATTTCTGAAGAAAGGCTTAAAGCTCCCCAAAGTGGTGAGTTGTTTTGATCTTTACAACCTGAGCTACCAGCACAGCTGCCCACAGGTAGAGTACTGAGGAGGAGGAGGAGGAGGATGCTTTATTGTAGCTCCATACATTTTGATGCTCTGAATCAACCCAATTAGTTAATGCACCTTACAGTCGGAGTTCTCACTAAGAGTATAAGGGAACACCACAGGTCTCAACAGAAAACCAGTAAGGTTCTCCGTCTCCCATTCCCCCTGTGCGATCGTGCAACAGGACCACAGATAAAGTGAGGAAAACCCAGCTTGCAAAAACAGGAAGGGTCCTAAGTAGAAGGACCCAAGATAAAAGGACAACTGTTCTTCATGGGGCCGCAGGTATGGAAAGGTGAATGCTGTTCATTTTCCCTGCAGGAATTTAAGTCTGACCTTCTCTGAGGCTTCTACTCAGCTTACCATGTCCCACTACCTCTCCTGATGGAGGAAAGCAAACGAACCAACCAAAAGAAGTCAGTTATGAAAGGACTTACTCCATGAGAAAACAGCATGAAAAATAAGGGAATTAGACACCCCCCACCAAAGTTGCTCATTGATGGAAAGTAGAAAGAGCTAACCAGATTTCAAAGGAAAAGATGCCTCCAGCTACAAGTTTTCTGATAACCAACTTAGGTTTCTATAATAAGAGTAATGATCCCTCCATTTTTCCACATGGGATTCTATAATAATAGAAACCTAAGTTGGTTATCAGAAAACTTGTTTTATTTTTTATTATTATTTTTATCAGAATTAGAATAAAGAAGCTTTATTATTATTAAAGCTTCTTGAATCTCACTTTTCTTCAACCAACGGTTCGATTTTAAAAATTAAAGATCCTTGGTTTCTAAGTAACAGTGCTTTCAAGTTGCCCACTCCGTTCCCTGCAAAAGCCCTCCTTTTTGACACCATTACTGACAAGTAAAGCCAGTGAGGGCAGCAGATTTCAAAAAGCAAGTCTTTGAAATGAGACGCTATCAACGAAAATGAGGACATGCGACTACACAACTCCAACTGCAGGCACGAATCTCTGAGGAGAGATCCATCACTAGGAGGCTTGGGATGCCACGGCAGGAGACAACACGCAAATCCTGTCCAGCGTTCGTTTGGGAGGAAAGACCAGGAACAGTCACAGACTGAGGCCAACCCCTACCCAACCCCCGCTACTCCCAAGAATGACGAGGGGGAAAGCAGGGCTGAGTAACAAAAAGACCGCACGGATTTTTCAGTTAATGCTAACAGGGAGCCTGGGACCGAATCATCAGCCGAGAGCAGAAGATGGGGAGATGGAGGGGACCAATTCATCCCCAGCTGGGTCAGCCTGAGCTATGAGAAACAGGTTTCCGCCCTCGCGAAAAGCCTCCGCTCCTCGCCGAGCTGGGCACCTGCCAGGCCACCACGTCCGGGGGCAATGGCGAGGTCCCCCTCTCCCTCCCTGCCCCCCCCCCGCCGTCCCCGGGCCTCCGAGGCCGGGGTCCCGGGGGAGGGAGCGGCGGCAATACCAGGTGTAGTCGTCCTCGTCCCGCCAGGCGGCTACGCTCTCCAGGTCCAGCGGCTCCACCTCGTCCAGCAGCGTGGGGGGCGGCGAGGGCGGCGCGGTGGCTCCCCCCGGCGGCGTCCCCGCGCCCCCCGGCTCCAGCCCGCCGCCGCCCGCGCCGAAGAAGCCCGCCGCCGGCTTGAAGTAAACGAAGGGCGCCTCGGGGGGCTGCGCCAGGCTGCAGAGCAGGGAGGGCGCCGGGCTGGGCAGGCAGTAGGTCCCCGAGAACGCGGGGCTGGAGCCGCCGCTGCCGCCGCCCCCGGCGCCCAACGCCAGCCCGAGCCCCAGGCCCCCCGCGGCGGCGGCGGCCGGGGGGCTCCGCGGACCCAACGGGCTGCAGGCCCCGGCGGGGGGCGGCGCGGCGGGCGGCGGCGGCGGCGGCAGCAGCAGCAGGTGCGGGGCGGCGGCCGCGCTAGCCGCCCGGCTCCGCAGCTGCTCGTTCTGCTTCTCCAGCTTGCGCACTAGCTCCTGCAGCTTCTTCACCTCCAGCTCCGCGTTCACCACCGGCCCGGAGCCCGCTCCGGAGCCGCCCCCTGCCGAGGCGCATTTCACCTGCTCCGCCATCATCGTGGGCCCCGAAGGCGCCGCGGCCGCCGGGGGCGGCAGCGGGGGTGGGGGGGCAGAGGGTGCGCGCCGCCGCGCCTGCTCCTCGGGCCGCGGGGAGGCTACGGCTCCTTCCCTGCCGCCCGGGCCCGGGGCGCCGACCACGCTGGGGCAGAGGCCGAGCCGGCTGTTCGCATCAGCACCGGGCCCCAGCCCCCGGCCGAGGCAGCCGCCGCCAAACAGCTCTGCACATGCTCAGAGCGTCCCTCCAGTCCCCTGGGCGCCGCGGCGGCTCCGGGTTTTAGCCGCGGCCCCGGGGCGGGGCGGGGCGCGAACGCCGGGTGGGCGGGGCCGGTGGAGGACCTGCGGGGGTGGAAAGAGGCGCTCGCGAGGGCGGGGCAGGCAGCGGGGGCGGGGGCCCCCCGCCCCCCCGCCCCCGCCCCCGCCACCTAGGCCTAGGTGCCTGATTGGACCTGGGCTGAGCTTTCCCGCCACAGGCCCTTCCGCAGCTGCGGAAAGAGCCAACTGCGCGGACCTCTGAGCCGGGGTTCCCCAAAAGCCGCCGCAGGTGTCTGCGCTAGAGGAGTGCACCCGGCGCCCGCTGGTTTGCTACGGTCCGAGAGCACTTGTGCTCAATGACCTTAGCCACTAAGCACTGGCAAATGAAACCTGTAAAGAACCAGAGGGCCAGGGGACGTTATCCTAAGGGCTGAAAAGTGAAAACGTGGAACAGAAAGACTTTGAGACAATACTATTAATGCACTAATTGGTAATGCAGAAACAAAATGGTGGGAGAGAGGAGGCCGAGGAGAAAGAAGAAATCCTGAGAGTGGCCATCTACCAAAGAGCCAAGTGTTTAGTTTATTCTAAAATAGTCGAATTCAAATTATTCTGTTACCACCAATGTTTGTGATAATAAAGCGAGAGCATTTTCCATACTATGCGTATTATTACATTTATCAGACAAAAGATCTTTGAGCACTTAACTGTTCTGGATACGTTTCTAAGAGTTGGCCATCAAGCAGTGAACAAAACAAGCAAAAATCATTATAGGCGAAACATGAGTAAAATTGTATAGTGCTCCATCTCTTTAATAATTTACAAGCTATTAGCTCAGACTTAAGGGGTGGAAGGGGCCAGAGAAAAACAAAACCTTAGAACTCTATCCCAATGTCCCTGAACTCTCCTGCAAGCCTGTTCTTCTTAAATCTTTTGGAAACCATTGGCCAATCTGCCTTGGGGGGAGTGGGGGAGGCTTTTAGGCAGAAGAATTGAATCCGGTTTCATTCAATGAATATTAACTTAGCATTGTAAGTGTTTAACACAATCAGAGAAAAGTCTAAGATTTTATTATGAGAAAAGTCCACACAACCGGTTCTCATCCTCAGATGATAAGACTATCTGGTGAGAGGTCCTCCTCAGGGACTTTACATACCCATCCTTGTGACAATGTTCCACAGCCCTCTGGAACTGCTAGCACATTGTATCATTGGTTTTAGATATAGCTCTGTGCCCTCCTGCTCTGAAACATTTGTGTCTTCTCAGTTATCAATATCTGTGTTTCTGCCTGTAGGTTGGGTGATGTGCATTTAACTTGCATGGTGAGCGCTTCCATAAATTAGAGAAGTATGTGTGACAATTACCCGGACCCTTCCTATCTGGAATTGCCCCTTGCTAGACCACCACTTAACCACCTGTATCACCTTTCCAAGTTTCAGTCTATCTTCAGGATATTCTGGTGACTACTAAAACCTGGAGAAGTGGAATAATACTCCTGAAAGTCCTAAGTAAAGAATCTATTGAGGATTTTTCCGCATGCTCAGTGGCAGATGCGGGTAGCAGGATCCCTGCAACACAAAGAAAGGGAGACAACAGACACAATGAGAACAAAGAGCTGCTGGCTTCCCCATTAGCGAAAGAAATTGGGAAGAGATACATAATAGTGAAGACAGCAAGAATTCAGATGTAAAGAAAAGCAGTCATTTTACTACAAAATTTATATACTCTAGAGAAGCAGTGAAATAAACAGCTCGCTCCTCCCCCATTTACTCAATACGGTCTATAGAATACATCCAAGCAACCAGTAGTTAAGTCTTAGAACTGTGTCTTCTAAGTCACAGTTATTAAATAAAAAATTTAGTGTTTAAAAAGCATTCATTGAAATTTAGACATAGAATAGAGATATCACATTCTGCCCTAAATTTCTATTCTTCATTCTTCTTCTGAAAAGACAAATTTGCCCTCTTCATAACTGTTTTAAAAAGTATGAAATAACTCATGTCCAGAGAAATTTTAAATAATTTCTTTTCCTTTCTATTAAAGCACCTCTTTTTTCTCCCCTTCTGTGAACTACTCATGTACACACACCAGAGATGATCAGAATGTACACAGATTTTAACTTGGTATCCCCAGGATGCCTGTCTCTTTAACACGTAATTAAAGAGGTTGATGGTGTCAAGGTTTTAATTAAGCAGTCTTGATTTTTTATTTTGATGCAAATTTGCAAAGCTTTGTGCTTTGAAAGAAATTGCATGCATAGTTACTCCATTTTAAATTATTTTTATTTTATTTATTTATTTTTTAAATATATTTTTTTAAAGATTTTATTTATTTATTTGAGAGAGAGAATGAGAGAGAGCACATGAGAGGGGGGAGGGTCAGAGGGAGAAGCAGGTTCCTTGCTGAGCAGGGAGCCCGATGTGGGACTCGATCCCGGGACTCCGGGATCATGACCTGAGCCGAAGGCAGTCGCTTAACCAACTGAGCCACCCAGGCGCCCCTAAATTATTTTTATTTTAAATGAAATATATGATTTCAGAGGTTTATGAAATATGAAAGCACATGTCTCATTAAGAACTTTGCTTTAACAATGCATTTAAAATAGCATAAAGTGATGAAAAACATCCATACATCACACATTCAAACCAGATGAATAAATGCATATTTCTCCATTGCTTTGCATTCCTTGCACTTCAGAACTATGGTTACTAGGTCACTCTAGTGAACTTTAAGAGAGAAAATAATTTGATCTGTATGTCCACATATACCTCTAATAGTGTCTATGGACATCAAATTGACGACCTCTCCACAGAATTGAAAAGGCAGCAGTTTCTTCTTGAGTTTGTAAACCTAATTCTCTGAGGAAATCTAGAAACAGCTTGTTATTATCCTAGTCTTATAGATGACCTAACAAGGTTAGGCAACTCGCCCAAATTCAGGCATGAAAACGATGACGGTTCTCAGCACAGTTTCTAGTGGCCCAACTACTCTTCTCCTTATACGCTTGTCTCAGGGTAAAAGTCGTCTAAGAGTAAGCCCCATACATTTTAAATGTAGATTTTCCATCAGTGCAATGGACATACCCTAATATGAGCTCTACATTTATCATGTTGATAGATCCAATTACAGGAAGAAGAGGAAATCATCTAATGTGTTCAACTAAGATCAAAGATCCCCAACTGTGTTTTCAAGTCGTTTCAGAGTACAGTGTTTGATTTTGTTTCCCTCTTAATGAAGATTCCTCTTTGTCCATACAGAATAGACTTGAATACTCTGGGTCCCCACTGCTCTGATGCAGCACCTCGCACACTGTCTAGCATGTAGCAAAGACACATTGAAATTTTTTTTTAAGAAAAAATGAATAAATAAACAAATCCCCAAGTTTTAGCTGGAATCTAGACAAAAACCTAAGTAGTTATTTCCATAAGCCTCATTTATCATGTGGTAACAACATGGAAGGATTAGAAGGCTTTTTGCAACCCCGTAATAATTATTTCACATCTGGCCCAATTAAAAGCTAGAAACATACTTGCTGCATCTAATGTGTGCATTTTAATGTACGGGGATAATGCAGAGAGAAAACAAAAATACACGAAGCCACAATTCATATAAATAATCCCTGTGTGGGTTGCTCCATTCAAACCCCACCCAACTCTACCACTCGAATTCAGGCCAATAACCCGTGTAATTATACCCTGTAAAGTTACATATAGTAGTAGTTATAATAGTAATAATGATAATAATTCTGTTTATATGTCAAGCTATATTTGTCAGAGCCCTCTTTAATAAACACTTATTACATGTCTATTATGTTCAAGTCACAATGCTAGATGATTTTTAGATGTGAGTAAGACAGTGTCTCCACCACCAAGACCCTTATCTGGTTGGAGAAAGAAGCACATCAATAATTAACTATAGTACAAAACTTAGTGTGTTAAGGGTCATGACAAAAATACAAGTCAACAGGATAGGGAGTGCTCAAGAAGGGGCAATTAATTTTGGCTGAAAAATTTAGGAAGACGTTATGTGGAAAGTGAACATTATTTCATTTTGTTCTCTTTATCAAGCTGCAGGGCATTGGGGCAACTATTGTGACCTTCATTTATCACACAGGATATAGCATGTATCAAAGCCATAGTAGAACTAGGGTTCAGCGCCCATCTCTAATTTCTGGTCAATATTGTTTCCTTTGTGGTCACTTTGTTTTGTTTTTGTAAATAGCTCGCATAACTACCACTCCCATTAAAATGAGACTTTTTACAATTTACCTTAATAGTAGCAATTGGTGCTTACTAACTGCCAGTAGCTCTTCTAAACCCTTTCCTGGCATTGGCTCATTTAATCACCGAACAGCCCTTTGACGTAGTTTCTGTTATGATTCCTGTTTTATAAATGAGGAAACTGAGGCCCAACGAGGTCCAACACTCTTACCCAGCCAGTAAGCAGCAGAACCAGGCAGTCTGGCTGCAGAGTCCAGGCTTGTAAAATGTAGTATTTCTCTTTCAGTCTTAGGCAGCACCGACCAGAATTCCCTGCTCTGGTCTCAGTGGCTTATCAATAAAAACTATTGACTAATGCAAAAATCAATAGCAAGGAATGTCTTGAACGGAGTCTGATTCATTAATAAGCAAATATTACTGGAACTCAATTTCTGAGTTCTGTCACCCAGCACAGATTAGAAAACAGTAGGTTTCCAAGATCAACAAAGTTGCCAGGGCTGGTACAACATTTCCAACAGTACAATGGCTATTCATTCAATGCTTATTTCTGCACAGATGACAAAACAGCATTCATTGTCCCCGCTGCTTCTTGCTGTTTCTAGCCTTTTAGCTTCTTCATATGTCAATATCACTGTTAAGAATACTCAAAAGAAACAATGTCACAGCCTATGTTCGATCGGAGCAGATCCCATCATGATTTTAAAGTTCAAAAAGGAAAACAAAAAAAAGTTCAGAAACTTTTTTCAAAATTTGAGACTTTTTTTACCCACCAGAAGTTTTGCTCTTCTTGAAAATTAGTGT